TTGTCAAAGACTTAGTTAAGATGGTAGAAAGAACTATCATAAAATGGTTGATGAAGATTCACAGCACATTTTAAAATTTATTCAACCAATATTAGTGCCCGGTTGAGTGTGGAGTTTCTACAGTGGAGACAGACACACTGCCTGCTCTCGCATAGCTTACAGTTTAGTGAGGAAGACAAACACACAAAGCGGATGAGTGCCATGTGCAACAGGGACGTGGGTGGGCACCCTGTCCAGCCTAGGAAGGTTTCTAGGCAAAGGAAAAAGTGTGTGCAATGGCTCGAAGGCCAGAAAATGCAAGGTCTATTGAGGGGAGTACAAGTAATTCAGTGCAGTTGCAGCATAAAGCAAAAGGAAGGCCTTGCTTGTAACAGACACTTTGTTCCCAGGGGCTTAACCTAGGAACAGATATTGGCGAAGTAGACCTGAGCTAATAAGCTGACTGGAGTTACATGAGAAGTTTATAGAACTAACTGGTCCCAAATTTTGCAACAGAGGGTTACTGTAACATTATGTGATCCAGAAAACTCATGCCCTGTCTGCGAAGTTTGTGGGTTTGGGAACAAAGTAGTGGCCAGCAGTTGGTTTGCTAAGGCTCCCATTCCAGGAGGATTGGATAGGTTGGCTTTCTCTCTCCTCCCTTCCTTTAAAAAAAAAAAAGTCCATTAGAAAGCCATCCTATTTATTTACAATGATTATATCTATGGGGCAGGTTATTAGTACAGTGCTAACTTTCTCCCTGGAGCCACACCATATGGGAAGCCAAACATCAATATCAGCTTGTTTTGGAGCTTAGAATAGAAGAGACACTAATATGAACTGGTATGTTCAGTAACATCCAACTTCAGGCTCGTATCACCTTTTAACAAAATCCTGATTTTACACACACACACACACACACACACACACACACACACACACACACACACTTTTATATATTACATAAATGTCATATATACTAGAGAGTTTTTATTGCAGTTTTATTAACCCGTCCCTTTTAATTTGGCTCCCTCTTCTCCTTTACTCCTCCCCCACCGTGCCCGCACTCCAGGACAACTCACATTAATGATCTAGTATACATTCTTCCATGTTTTCCCTCCATGTTCATATAATCATATACAAACACATGCATATATATGTACATAAAGATTGGTGAGACTTTTAAAAAATAATGAAATTATTAAAATTAATTTTTTCCCCTCACAATACAGCTTATGGAAATCCCTGAAATTCATATAACCCTAATTTATTTTTTTTTAAACTGCATAATGGGCAATTTTTTTTTTTTTTTAAGCTGAGCCATCCTGCCACCTGTTGGCAGCTCAGCAGCAGCTCAACTCGGGCTGGGAATTGAACCAGCGACCCTGTTGCTCAGAGCTCACACTCTTGAGCGAGCTCTTAACCAATCGAACCACTCGGCCGGCCCAAGCAAGTTTTAAATTATGCTTGCATTGTTTTTTGTATTATGCACACTGATGCAAAAAAAAAAAAAAAAAGAAAAGTCTTTTCATACTCTCACAAACTATCATTTGAAGTGTCTAATTTTATATCCTTATATATTCAAAGCACTATATAGTATTGTTTTGCATGAATTAATGCTTTATGTAAATTATTAATTACACTATACACAACCTTCTGATTTGCTTGAGATAATTGAGATTTATCCTTATTGATATATGCAAATTCAGTTCATACATTTTAACTGTATAGTATTTTTGCTATTTTTATTCTATTTTAATTATAAATTTTATTTTACTTAGTTTTTCTTTTCATCCTATTTATGTAGAATGTTTATAAGGAATAACTCCTGAACTTAAACAAATGCTTTTTCAATATCTACAGGTTATAGAGTTACATGTTTTTCAGCTCTAGTTCGTGGATGATATTGATAGATTTCCCCCAAATTGAATCACCTTTGCATTCCTAGAATAAATCCTACTTTGTTGTTCTTTCTAGCTTCATTTCTGATTTTAATTTACTAACAGCTTAATCAGAAATTTTCATCTATTGTCAAGTGAAATTATAGGACTTTATAAATATCTTTATCAGAACTTGGCATTAATGATACGCTGCTGGCTTCTTTAAAGGATTTTGAGAGCTTTCTATTTTTATCTATTTTTAGAGCATTTGAATTATATTTATCTGTTTTTTAAGAATAAGATCAAATTTGGCTGTGAATGCCTCTGTCTCTGGTCACTCTTTAATAACTTTTTAGTCTCTTTTACGGAAATTGACTTATTCAAGTTTTCCACATCTTGGGATAATTTTGCTAGAAAAATATTAAATTACTCTAGTTTTTTTTCTTCTTTGCCATAAGTTAGCATGTAATAGGCTCTTAGAATTCTCTTAGTATATCCAGTATCTGTGTTTGTCTCCTTTCTCATTCCTTATCTTATATATTTTTGCTTATATTTTTTAACATAATAAAACAATCAAGGCTTATGAATTACCTACTTTATTGTTTGTTTTTTAAAGAACCAGTATTTGAGTTTATCCCTTCTTGATTTTTCTGTTTATTTAATTAATTCCTGCTTTTTATTTCTTCTTTTTTCTTTTTCTAATTTCTTCTGAATGCCAAGTTTCTTCATTGTTTGTCTTTCTTCTTTATTACTGAAGGAATGTAAGATTAATGTAAATTTTATCTGAGTTAAGGATTTACTGTATTTTGGTATAAAAGGCTTCTTTCTCCAGAGTTTAAAACTCCCCTTCTGATTTCTTTGATTCAAGGGTTATCCAGTAGTGTTGTATAATTTCAGTAGGATTTTCCAAGTGATATAGAGCTTGTATTAGTACTTTTTAGCATAGGACAAAGTCTATCTTTTGCTTTCCTGGCATATGCTTAAAGAGGTAGTACTCAACTTGTGACACAGCAACATCCCAAGAGCCCATGCTTACTTAACATAAGTCAACTTTCTGAAGTCAACAAATACCAAAAGAAACAACACTTTAAATGATGAAGAAATTTTTCTTTACTTAATTTCCTTAAAGTTGGCAATAACAATAGTTAAATTTTCAAAGAAGCCTCCAAGAATCTCTGATACTGCAACAATATCGTACTAACACGTTAGTAACACTGCCTCAGGATTGTTCTCTTAGCGTTTTTTACAGCATTTTCTAGAGTGTCCCTCACAGCTAGCTAGGGAAGAAGAGTGGGAAGGAGTTGGGAAAGAGCTGCATTCTATAGAGTCACCCCCTTGGAGATCTGCACTGGTATGTGTTAGCATTATAAAAAATCTGAGAAGTCCTGCTTACCTTTGGTTAACTACGATTTCCTAAATGTATTTGATGACCTTATTCTTTTATCCATTAATGCCTATTAACTCTCTGTGGGAAATGCAAGCCAAGATAGACATTCCTTGGAGAGAAAGACAGTGGAATCAAATTCTTTGTCTTCTCTGTGGGTTACTCAAACCTGGGGCTCAGTAAATGTTTGCTGAGTGACTTGGTACCAGAGGCGGTATGATGTGGCAATAGCAGATGTTAAGAGTGTCCACTGCAGCTGCTCTCAGTATGCTCATACGTAAGTTGTGCTCTCTTATTAAGGATCACTAACTATTTTGCATCAAAATATAAACTTTCTTTTCTATTTTACAATTGTGAATGGAAATTCATAAAACTTTGGCCCTATCCAAATTCAAATATTAAAACCTAACACCCTGAGGAGGCCAACAAAACCTAGTAAAAATAATATTGCAGTTGTAACACCAATGGAAGTATGTAAAAATATATACACATGCACACATACCGGCATCACCACCACCACACATCCCCATGTATGCTGTATAAAATATCAGAGACTGATGACTTAGGGCATCACCAGACCAGAGTATGTTCAGAGAAATGAAAAAGGAACTTGCCAATTAGGTCCATTGTCCATATTAAACTAAGACAGTGGAACTGTCTTTTGGTCCCTATTCATTTAGTCTTATGATTCAGCCATATAATTTAATGGTCATAAAGTAGACAGTGGCGAAGTAGAGCCAGGAAGCTTCAGAATTGTAAAAATATGGACAATCTCCATTTATTTAGCTAGAGAGCTTCCAGCTTCAAAACTGAGACATGAAATTTTATATCTGTGATAGGTACTATTAAGCTGCCTTCAGAACTCTGGTTTTGTTTGGGGCAACAATGCAGGCACAACTGGGAGGGATAAATCAGAACCAGTCTATGCCAATCATGGATCTCCTTCTCATCAATGCCAGGTAAGTAGCTTCCCATTTGTAGCTACATGTAGCTATGTATGTGACTTACCCACATGGCCAGTGAGACAAAAGCAGAAATCTGCTGGGAAGGTTCTATGAAAGATTGTTCTTTCAACATAAAAAGAGCCACACAGGGATGGCAGAGTGGCTCAGTTGGTTAAGAGCTTGCTCAAGAGTGTGAGCTCTGAACAACAGCAGTTCGAGTCCTGGCCCAAGCTGAGCTGCTGCTGAGCTGCCAACAGGTGGCAGGACAGCTCAACTTAAAAAAAAGAGCCACACAGGAAGGCATTTTGTCCCAACCTCATCCTTTTTTGCCTAGAACACTGGTGTGAGAAAAATAATACCTGGGGCTGCAGCCACCACCCTTTGACCCTGAGGCACAAACAAAAGCCTAAGAAACCAACAATGCTAAGGATAATAGAATGGGAGGACCGTACCCCGTTTTCCTGATAGCATCATTAAGTTCCATGAACAAAGTCTGGATCTACCTGTCTCCAGACTTCTTGTTACTTAACAATAAATATCCTTATGGTTTAAGCTCCTATTGGGTATGGAGTCATTGCATTCAATTGTTTTTTAACTGACACAGTAGTGCCCTATGTTACTTATTAACATTTCAGAATTTAAAATTTTGTATGAGAAATAGGGGATACGAGAGATTTTTAACTTTCACTTCATATAATGCCATATTTAAATTGCTTTTACAAGCATAAAATGTTCTATAACATTTAATGATAGAATTAAAAAATAAACAAACTTAAAAGACAAGTAATAGGAAAAATCGATCCATACCCGTACCTTTCCGTGTGTTCTCTGTCACATCTACCCCAAACTGGATAATGTCACCAGAAAGAATTTCACATGGTGGACTTTCTTCAGAGCCTCGGCTCAATCTCTGGCTATTTATAAAGGTACCGTTACTACTTTTAGTGTCTTGGAGATAAAACTGCAAAAATAAAATTGAAAAAAAAAAAAAGAGTCAGAGATTAATAGTAATAATTCTAAATCTTCTTTAAAAAAAAAGTACTTCCAACTTTGCAAACTACTGCAGGTGTTTTTTTCCCCCTTATCAATTCAAACCACTTGTTTCAGCTAAGGTTCTCCTTCAATACATATAAAATTAGAACCCTAAAACTGGGTGATTTAAAATCCAGCTAGACAAAAATAGTAATTAGCTTGAAAAACAGTTTATAAGGTCCTCAAAATGTTAAACATAAAGTTAGCATATGACTGAGGAATTTCACTCCAAGACATACACTCAAGAGAACTAAAAATAGATGTCCTTACAAAAACTCGTACACAAATAAATGTTCACAGCAGCATTATTCATAATAGCTAAAAAGTGGAAACCCAAGTGTCCATCAGCTAATGAATAGATAAGCAAAATGTAGTATATCCATATGATGTAATATTATTTGGCAATAAAAAAGAATGAAGTATTGATTCATGCTACAACATGGATGAACCTTTAAAACATTATACTAAGTAAATGAAGTAGGTCACAAAAGACCACATATTATGTAATTCCATTTATATGAAAGATCCAGAATAAGTAAATCCATAGAAACAAAAAGTACATTAGTGATTGCAAGGGGCTGAGGTGCCAGGAAGCAGGGGGTGATGGGGTGAAAATGACTGCTAATGGGTATAAGGTTTCTTTTTGGAGCAATTAAAATGTTCTAAAATTACATAGTGGTGATGGGTGCATAACTCTGTGAATATACTAAAAACCTCTAATTTGTATACTTTTAAAGGATGAATTTTATGGTATATGAATTATATTTCAATAAAGCTATTATTATTTTTTTTTAAAGCCAGCTAGACAAAATTCTATCTTTCCATCTCACTCTGATTTTGTAATTTTCCTAAGCTGTCTGGGTTACATCAAAGGAAGTGCTTATTCTACAGGCAAGGACAATTGATTTTAGGTAACACAATTAATAGCTATCAGTTAGCTAACATACTTGATATCAGGACCAACATATCATCAGTAAATTCTTCGTGATAAAGCAGATTGGAGATGTTAGAAACTAAAATACTGGAATCAACTATGAAAGTACTGCTTACTGGCCTCCCAAACTTGATTTTCATCACTTAGGGAATCTTCCCTCCTTAAAAAAGGAAAGGATGGGAGGAAGTACAGGAAGCCTACCTGTTTACCACTTACCTATCCTAAAAGAAATTAGGATCAACTGGGATCACACACAATAGACTTACTAGGAAGAGAACAACCAATTTAAAAAGATGTACCTTTCTTTCTGAATTTTTCTACACTCTCCAGCCCTACTTATTCTAGCAACATATTTTCACTGAATTCCTCCCTAAGGAAGAAAGGAAAGAAGAAAAAACTAATATTTATTAAAATACATGTAACACCACCAGGCCCTGATTTAAGCTTAACATTAAAACTGTGATATAGATATTACTTCCATTTATAAATGAGAAAAGAGAGGCACAAGCAAGTATCTTTCCAAAGGTCACAGAGCTATGGGACACAGGAGCAAGGATTCAAATAATAGAATTAAAAGGGTCATTTTTCCCGTTACTTCACACTGACATTTAGGTTTCATTTAATCTTCCCTCCTCCCATACTCTCTCTTCCAAAATGAAACAAACAAGAGAATAAGAAATTTGCAGAAAATAGGAAAATGACATTTCTTTTCATTAATTCCTAGGTGATAACTTAAAGGCCGCCAGGCTGCTTATTCTCTGCTTATAATTCAAAAGAGACTGTTACTTTGGCTAGCAGTTTGTATGTTTAATTACAGACCATAATAAAGAAAACTGTTATTTTACAAGTCCATTTGAAATTCACAGGCCTTAACATTTCATACCAGGGAGAAGAGCACAGGCAATACACTCAAGTAGGAACACTTATCCTCAAATTATTTTCTACACTGGAATCTACTGTTACATTTTATAAGCAAGCTTGGTTTATGTTTTTTAATATATTCTTGGGAAATGTGGCGATATCTGGATCCTGGTTTGGTCATATTCAGTAATGTGTGCTTTGGCAAGCCAAATAAAGGGACTATACTAGATTTACAGTCGTTTTCAAACTTCAAGGCCTGATCCATTAGTGGTACTAAGTCAACTTAGTGGGCTGCAACCAGCATTTCATTTCAAACATTAGAGAGAACAAACCAGAAATAAGAACATATGAAATGAGATTCAGTACTGTTTAGCAAACTTTGTTTAGAAAACAAGAGAGGTGTGTGTGTGTGTGTGTGTGTACACCTCGTTTGTAACTCTTAACTATAAAACCACAAATTTTCAAATTAAAAATATTTCAATCAATATTAACCCAGGTTCTTTTTATTTTGACATGTATATTACTGTCCAAAGTACTCCACGGTACTTTGGGCATCCATTTAGCTTTATCATTTACATTAGTTGCTCATTCTTCCTTTGCTCTCAAACTAATGGCTTCCACACACCTTTGAATAAAATCCAAAATTCTTACTGTCACAGTACATAAAGCCCTACATGATCTGGTTCCTGGTTCCCTCTCCAAACTCATTTACTTCAACTATTCTCTTAGCCACTCTGACCTCCACTCATGCCTCTGCACTTCTGTATAGCTAGACATTTGCTTACTTCCCTGCAGTAATATTTTCATTGATATGATTTAATATTCTGCCCTAGGCTGTTTTGAAAAATCAATATAAAAAATGTTTCTGAATCTCCTATGAAACAATCTGTCGTTATTCAGTCCACACTGAACAGAAGCTCTTCTATTTAAAATCAGGTTAGGATTCTCGAGGTATGTATAAAGAAATCAACTTGTTGGCAAAGGACTGAGAAAGGACTGTGCTTACAGTCCCTGGATGTATTTCCTGTAAGTAGGTATATTAGTTGGTTCTTCGTCACTTTCAAACCAGAAATATCTTTCTCTTCTCTGCTGATAAATCTCCATCAGGCTTCCCCTAGGTGACACGAAATCAGTTTGGGCTACTCTAAAAAAAAAAAAAAAAAATCCTGTTGAAGCTTTAACTGTCATTATTTCCTAATAGCCTAAGGAATGCCCAAACAGCTCTAGGGGGTTCCAAGAGCCAGTGGCCATTTACTCTGATATTGAGCAGGTGTGTAAGTAGCCCTGAATTAATAAAACCTCCTGTAGCTGGTGGCCAAAGTTCAACTTATACTCTGTTCAGGCTTTATCTTGAATTAACCCTTTGCTTTCTTTCCCTTGAATTTAAGCTCCCAGAATTCAGGCACTGATGGTGATCCTTGAACTGGAAGGTTGTCCCCGCCCCATCAGTCCATTTCCTTGTCTCTTGCTGATTACGATTACCTCCAATGACATAGGTATAGCACTTGACTGGTTGCATAATTTGTTCTTTGGCCTTCTGAACAGAAGTTCCGAATGAACAGAAAGTTTGTGCTGTTCATTCCATAAACAAATACATTTTGAATCACTTTCAACTTTGTTACAAATGGTAAACATTTTCATTTCCACTATAATGATAAACTGCTTTTTTTCTAGTCCTTTCTAGATTGATTGGTTTCTGAAATATCCAAACACCAATAAATTAATAACATTTGAAATGAAGATTCAAAACAAAGCACAGGCATAGCAGACACGCCATAGGCCAGAGGTCAGAAACTTTAAGTCCACTCAGGGACGTTTTAAAGATGTGAATGCAGAATGGATTATGGACTTTAGATGCTAGATGCTGTATCATATGTTTTTAATCTACCTGAATCACCACCTAAATTAAACAGTGACTAAGATAGCAAAACCAAAATCCCATATACAACATTTTAACAAAAGTAGGTGAAACAGTATCCATATAAGCCTCAAAATACAAGTGAGTAGGTGGGCCGGCCAAGTGGCGCGATGGTTAAGAACTGGCTTGGGACGCCAGAGGGCCCCGGTTCGGATCCCACATATGAGGGCCAGTGACACTGCCCTCTACAG